TAGGTGTCTATGGGATGCGCCATCGCACATGAGTGGGCACTAATGCATTTGAGAAGGAGCCCTGGTGGCACAGCAGTGAGGTGTTGGGCTGCCCACCCCAAGGTCAGCAGTTCAAAACCAGCAGCCACTGCACAGAGAAAAACAAAGAGTAACAGTCTCAGACACCCGCAGGAGCAGGTCTGCTCTGTCCGGCGGAGTCGCTATGAGTCAGAATGGACCCGAGGAGAGTGAGTTCGGGATTTTTAAATGCATTCGTGTTCAGGAAAATGGGGTTGCCTGCTCTGGGAAAGATGTCCAGCCTCAGAAACCCACAGGGGCAGTTCCCCTCTGTCCTGTAGGGTGGCCAGGAGTCAGAATCGACCCCATGGCAGTGGGTCGGGTTTTCATATGCTGAAGTCTTATCAGGCTGCGGTGTCTTCATTGCATCTAGGCCAGTGGTTCTCAACCTGTGGGTCGTGACCCCTTTGGGGGTCGTAGCAAAATGACAGGAAGTAGCAACGAAAATAATTTTATGGTGGGGGGGTGGGTCGCCACAGCATGAGGAACTGTATGAAAGGGTTGCAGCCTTAGGAAAGTTGAGAAACACTCATCTAAGCCATGATAAATGCTTCTGAAAACACTTTCACACAGGTGGCCGCCAACTTTGCCCAGATGAAAGGCTTGCAGTTAGGTCAAATGCAGTTAGGCATTCAACCGTTTCATCCGGCCCCTTCGATTGTTTTGATCATTGCTGCAGTTATGTCTGAAATGGCAGGAGGGTTAAGGGCTCGTGGGTCGTAGCTTCAGGGCTCTGGGACCTTCCCTCGAGCACATCCCCGAGCAGACTCACAGCCACACCAAGACCCTCACATGGAGACGCTCACTCCTAAGACTGACCATGGTGTCCTTTAGAAGGGAGACCTAAGTCACGTCATTCATGTCAGCGGACACTCACCATCCTTTTTTTGTTTTTTCTCCCTATAAGGATTTTCAAGAAGTCGGGGCAGGGAGAGGGGAGGCCACAGGTGGTGACATGTCTGTCTATTCAAAGCTTTGCATCCTAAAGACGAGTGTGGTGTGGGACATGGTCTTGGATGTGGGTTACAGAGAAGCCTGGCCCTTCTCTCCCGCAAGCCGATCCTCAGAGCCCTCGCCAACAAGCAACGATCTAGGAACTGCATTGAATGCCATCCCCGTCTCGGGGGAGGAAGATGGAATGGAGAAACATATCCCCCTCGGTGCCACCTTCCCGTTAGACCCCCTTCCCAGGATGGGAGGGACCACCTGCTCCTTCTTCGTGAGGGGTAGCAGACCCCCCCCCACTTCCATACAAGGCCTCTCACTAATAAGGTGTGACCCCGCTTTACTGGTCAGGCATCCCCTGCCCCTCCCCGTGGCGCATGTGTGTATCTTCCGTTGTCTGTAGGGGGGCCGCTCTCCCAGAGGAAGGAGCTGAACCATTCTGACGCCAGAACTCCGAGCTGGTTGCAAGTCTGGATCTCCTCTCTCCCCTTTGAAGTCCTTGGGGTCCGTATGCTCACTCGGAGCCCTGGCGCTGCAAGGTTAAGCTTCTGGTTGGCAGCTGGAATCCAGCCCATGGCTTTCCAGAAAAGCCATCGGTTCCCATAGAGATCACAGATGAGGATATGCTCTGGGGCGGTCCTATCCCGTCCTCAGGGTCTCTATGACTTGGAATCGACTGGAAAGCCCCTAACAGTCACACTCCCCCTATCACCCTCCTCCTCTTCAGCTATAGACCAGAGACGATCGAAGCTCCCAGAACTCTTCTCCCTTATATAGAAGCACTCCTCAAAGGCCACCCGCTGTCACGCCATGCAAGGGCATTGTGGCCCACTTACACTAATTAGACACAGATGCATAAATGTATTGGAAGGTGATCGAGCCTAGGGCAGTTGATGGAGATGCATCGAATGGAATTGACGAAGGATTGGTCAAAAGGGCAAGTAGAGTAATGCCTTGTTTTTGTACTTCCAGGGGACACCATCTGGCTGTATGTGGTCAGGCAGTCCCTGAACCTACTGCACTGGGAATTTCTGCAGTATTGCTCACCTGACCATTGGGTCAGGATGAGGCGGGGCATTGGGGCTCCAGTTTGATTACAGCGCTCGGTAACAGGGGCCCTCCCTGAACAGGTATCATGGGAGAGGCGTGGCTCCTTCCTACCAAGACCCCTCCATACATCGTCTAACTCGATAAACCCAGCCACACAGATACCTCTGCTGGAGGGTTCATCACCTCTTCCATGTTCGTCCATGTGATTTGGGGTTTGGGTTCCATTTTGTTATGTTTCCTTATATGTTTTTAGTTTATTGCCTGTTGTTATTATCATTATTGTTGTTTTGTTTATTTTCGGAGATGAAAATGAATGTTCTCTTCTGTGAAAGCTGAGTTCCTCGTTTTTGTTTTTGTTTTTGCCCGTGGCTGACTGCATGCTCTGTTGCTGTCTGGTTCCTGGTTCTTGACCCTGGCCGTCTTGGCTGGGAAAGGAGGCGTGCCGGCGGGCTTGCTTGATCAGAAGAGAGGGAAGTTCGCTTGGTTTAGTCACTCCACAGAAACCCATGGTAATGTCCCCTGGGCTCTGTGTGGGTCATGGGTGTGGGTGCCCACCGGACCAGACGGGAGGGTGCTCCTCTTGTTGGCTGTGATACCGTGGTTGTGTGTGTATGTGTGTACGTGTCGATGTGTGTAGATGTTCGTGTGTGGGTGTGTGTGTGTGTGTGTTTTGTGAGGGGGATTCTACCCTGCCCTCCTCAATGCCACTACCTTCAAATCTCTTTATATGGAGAAGAGCAGCCAATCTTGACAAGCGGCGACAACTCTTCATTGATGGAGCCCTCCCCGGGGCAGTGCTGGCCAAGAGTGAGTGACATCATTGTCGACGCAGGCATGGTACTGTTTTAGGAGTGCCTGGATGTCTAAGATGACTTCGTTATCCCCCAAACTCTGGCTCCACCATTCCTAATTTGGCGACCTTTCCAAGCCTCACACCGCCACCCTCTCACCATCCTGCTCAGTGTAAGGGGCCCTGTGGGACCCGCATGTCCCTAAAGCAGAGAGCTTTGCTTATGCTGCTCAGCCCTTCGAGCAATAGCACCTGGGCTGTTAAAGGAACCATAAGTCCAAAAGAGCTGGAGAGAGGTATGTTGAAAGACTGAAGACTTCCATGTTAAGACGTCTTCCTTCTACTGGATGGAACAAGGAGCCTTGGCAGATCTGTCTCCAGCTGCCAGTGATGAAACCACTGTCTGCGGCCAGCTCCCTCGGACCTTGGATTGTCAAGGGCGGGTACCTTCTCTTCTCTAAAATTCTCCACTGCCCTTTTACTACTCACTGCCTTCCCATCATACCCGAAACCCCATCCAGCTTTCAGAAGTTTGCCCTAAGGATAGAGTAGGGAGTTGGCCAACCACAGAGCCAACCAGCTACACACGGTGCAGGCAGCCATGACACTTGTGCTCTCGTTCCCACCTGAGGTGAGCTTGGCCTCAAAGCCCTGCTCCAGACCTCCGTTTCCTCTCCTGTGGAGGCGGGGCGGGCACGTTAGAGCTGAAGAAACCCTAAAGTCCCATGTGGCTCTCCGTGTGCATGAAAACCTGTCTATTTTTACCCAACTCTACTGAAAAGGACTCCCAGCTGGAGAGGTCTCTTTGACCTTACAGTCAAGAATAGGGCTACGTTCCGAGATTCCCCTTTGTAGCTCCCATGTCGTGCAAATGAATCTCTTTCCATCCACCTGTCCAAAAGAGGAGCGATGGGAAGATCCGTATCCATCAACGTGATTCATAGAGCCAGTGAAGCCCTTCCTGGGCTGTAGCAGCCTCCTGAGGGCAGGTCACCTGATAGGCACCCTTGCTACTTAGCGATTCTTTGGCAGCTGTTGGCCAGTGACTTTTCTCAGCAGGGAGGGGACCTGTTCTGGGTGGAGAACTGATCCAAGACCATTGTAGTGACTCTTCTCAACAACAGGACTTGGCCAAACCCAGGGACTGGTTGTGCTGCGTTAACTGGGGCGAAAGAAGGTACAGAAGAGGAAGAAAGGATCTCCTGGAGATGCGCTTTTCTGGGAGAGAAGAACCAGGAATGAAAAGAAATGCCTGTGGAGGAGCCCGGCCCGCTGCTGCCTTAGAGAGAGGCTAGAGACCGACCGGAAACACGGGCTCTCCTGGCCAAGTGAGAGGATTCCGATTATGAGTCAAGCTTGACCTGAGACCACCCGGCGAGACTGCTGGAAGGTGGAAGACTATCCCTGCAGGTTTTACTCAGGCCACAGACAAACGTTCCCACTCGTGTTCCTCCATCCCTGATGTCTGCCAGGCGAAGCTGCAATCTTAGTTCTTGCTTCTGGTCAGGAGCTTCCCATTTCAGCTCTCTGTTTCAGGCCAGCTCCTAGGGGTGAGAAAGTCAGGACCCAACGTGGACCATAGGAACAGGGAACATGCTAGTCAGTACTTCTTGCGAGGCAGCCCCACCCTCAGTCTGGGGCTGGAGCCTAGAAGGGTGATGAGTGGAAAAAGGAAGACAAGTGAACTACTCGCATGAAAGCGTCGCTTTGGATGAGGAGCCAGGGACGCAAATGGAGAGGCTTCCCCAACTGTGAGATGGCCTACGTCCCTCATCCGCAGTGCAGAGAGGTGAGGGCAGAGAAAAGTACCTGGCCATCAGTGTTTCAGGATGACTCCTGTCGGGTCAAATGATCTGATCGCCTGAGGTTCTCTCACATGCCCACGGGTCTGCCACGTCCTCGGCAGCAAAAGCTCCCGGGACGGGCAGCAGGTGTCTGAGTCAAGGACGTCCCCACGCCTGGCCATGCAGGGCCCAGGCCTCGCCCTGCTCACAGCAACAGTCCCTGCCTGGCCAGCAGAGGCTGCCCAGGCTCCCCTGTGCTCCAACAGCTCGCAGCCCTGCGATTGAGTGTGTGTGGTGGCTCTGCTCCTAGTTTCTCCCCCACCCCCTCACCCCCCCACTCAATGCCTTGTTCTTCGTCCCTTTGACTCTTGCAGTGAGCATGCCCACAAGTGAGACAGAGTCCGTCAACACAGAAAACGTGGCCGGAGGTGACATCGAGGGCGAGAGCTGCGGGGCCAGGCTGGCGTGAGTAGGCACGGCGTACCGGAGGGCTGGGGCTTGTCCTGAGCTGCCGGCAGGGGAGCTGCATCTCCAGGTCAAATGAGCTGGCTCCTCACGAGGAGGGCTAGCAAGACAGCCACAGAAACCTGAGGGGTCCAGAGGTGTAGTATTAAATTAAAAAATAATGACGCAGAGGGAGGTGGGGACCAGCCCCCACCCGCTGCTACTCCTACGAGTTCAGTAATACTACTTTTGGGTTCAGTAATGCACAATTGTACGGTTGAGATATATAAGTATTATATTAAAGTCATCGAGAGCATGAGAGATAATACAATAATACAGTCAGACATGTTACATAGTACCATCGCTCACCTCAGCCCAGCTTGGTGGTCCACGTGGAGAGAGGGGGAAGGGAAGGAGGGAAAGGGAACAAGGGAGAGGGGAGTGACCAGGGAGGGAGCAGCAAGGAGCTCAGGGTCAGAGAGAGAAGTTCTGCTGACTCACACCTATATACCTTTTGGGGGCAAGCCAGCCCACTAATTACAGGTAGAGACATACGTCACAGGAAGGGGCTGCACTATAGGCTACACAGCAATGAGAGGGTGGTCTAGGGGGTGGTCTCTGGGTCTCCATAGGAACCATTATCAGTAGGGTGTAAACCCCTCCTACAGGAGTCCTTCCATTGTCCCCAGAGGCAGGGAGCAGGCCCACCCCTGTGGAGGGATGAGACACAGTCTGGCAACTGATTGCCTTCAGGGGGAGAATGCCTGCGCATCTGACCTCCCCCCACACAGAGGGGCTCAGGGTTGAGTGTGGCCCCTCAGTGTGGGCCTGAATGGTCAACTAAGAGTCCCTGCTAATGCAAAGGCTGGTGCTTCCTCGGAGCTCTCTTAGAAGAAAGGCCCCTTCCAAAACCTCAGCCCTGGGAAACCCTGTGAGCACCTGTCTCTGTTGACACCCGTGGGGCACTGGGAGCCAGAGGCAGGGAATGTCAGGGCAACTGGTTTCAGCTCGTCGCATCAGACACACGGGCTGTGGGGAAGGAGCTCTCAGACCTGCTTCTTCCTCACTCCCGTCACCTTGTCTCCCAAGAGGTGGCTCGGTTAGTGCCCCTGGGTCCTGCTCACCACCCTTCTCATTCCACCGAAAGCAAAGCACACAGGTGAGAAAGCACAATAGAAAGATGATGAGCAAGTTGGCTCTAATGGGCAACTCTAAAGGAGCCTTCCAATGCAGGAAAGCAGAGACGCTCCGGCCTGCAGCCTTACGTTCACAACACTGAGCTTGGCCTGGGCTACACCAGTCAGCCGCCTGTTGCTCCAGCAGAAGCCCGTGTGTCGGGGTGCATGTGCCTGGCTTTGACCTGGGCTGGAGCAGAGGCCGGGTTACCAAGCACTGTTCCTACAGAGGCAATCACAGTCACCCCACCTTTGTTCCGTCTGGAAAACGGAAGCCAGTAGCCCCTGTGAAACGTCCCTTCCCCAAGCCCCCTAAAATAATTTTTTTTTTTTTAAAGCCACCTCAAGGGTGAGGCCTCCAAGAGCATTCCAGTTCCGCTTTTTTTTTAGCCTCTTCGTCCATCCTTTCTCTTGAAATGGCTCGATACTCTAGGAGGAGGCCGATCCCTAAAGGCAAGCCATAGTTAAGCCTAGACCTAAGCGACGCCCACCTGACAATGGCGTCCAAACCCAAAGAGAAGGGGGGGGCTCCCAGCCCCGAGACCCAGGGCCGGGCCTCGGAATCGCTCACGCTGACAGCGGCACAGCGAGCTGCACTGCAGAGCCCTCAGCGTGGTTGGGAAGCAGTTAGTGTCAAAATGGGGCTGAAATACGGGGCTAATTACATCTGTAAGCGGCAGACCCAGGCGTTTTTCCCTTCTCTTGGAATCATGCAAAACAAGCTGTTCTGGAAATGAGCCCCGAATAGACACATCAAGGCAAGGACTATAGGAAGCCTTCGAAGCCCCTCAGTTCTAGGCCTCTGAGTTGCCTTCTCCCCAGAAAGAGGCTGAAGAGATGGTGATGGAGGACCTTTGAACTCTGCTTTCAAGCCTGGTCCAAGGGGTAGACCAGCAGGGGTGTGCGGCGCTGGCACCAAGAAGTCACTAGCAAATGCATGTCAGGAGCACGTGAGACTCTGCATGCTGGGCCCCACGGAGGGAAGCTAGGGTCTCTCAAGTGTCTGTTCTCTCCTTGGATGAGCGCCTTCTGCCAGCTTAGAGGGGCTCTGTCCAAAGGGTCTCTGTAGGGCCATCCCTGTGAACACCCGCATGTCCGCATCTATTCTGTGCATAGAAACTACCTGGTCGCAGTGCCAGAATCATAGCATATACTTAATCCACGATGCCCCCCCCCTACTCCTCCCCATTCTCCAGACACAGTGGGATAAGATGCTGCCAGTATTCCTCGTGAGCGGAACAACATGAGAACGGTCTGGGAGTTCAGAGAGAGTGCGATGTCCCGAGGAGACATCAGGACAGCCAACCTTTTGAAGCTCAGGGTAAAAAGGCTTAGGTAGTCAAAGCAGCTGAGATGAGAATTAATATAAGCAGAACAGTGTAATTAAAAGATAATAGAATCTTTTCATGCACTTTTTGAAGCCCCCTGGTATACATGGAGGGCCTGGGATGGGAGGGGGCAATATGGGCAAGGGAGGTGACGAAGATGAAGGGCGCATCGGGTTTGAAAGCAGACATGGAAATGGCAGAGCTGCTGGTCACCTTGCGGTGGAGCCCAATCGGAGAAGACTGGACCTGCAGGGACAACGGAGATACCTGGACAGCAGGCGCGGGAGGTCATCAGTATCAGCAACGCTCAATGTGCTTGTAGGACACGGCTGTTCACAGAGATGTAGACGAGGAGCGGTGTCAAGGCAGCGTTGTATGTGCACTCAGAGCCAGGTGTCATCGCCAAGCTTGGTGCTAGCCATAAAGAGACAGACATTTTTCCCTGGGGCTTACACTCCAGTGCAGAAGTGGCCTTCGACAAATAGCGGGGTGATCACAAACTAGGGGGGGTATGAAGAAAAGTAGATCGTGCCCTGTGAGGTGAAGAGCAGCGTCTTTGAAGGATTTAAAGTGAAGCTGAGAACTGAGAGGTGAGCCTAAATTATTGGGAGGAAGAAGAAAGGGAAGTGTCCCAAAGGTGGTCACAGAGTGAGCCATGGACCTTGCGCAGACGAACTGAGGGAAGGACATGGTGACCAAGGCAGAGTGTGAAGGGTGAGTGGGAGAGATAAGGCTAGCGTCTGAGTGGGCCGGGTGGACCCCTACCCAGTATGGGTCTTAATCATGAGTGTGAGACATCACGGAAGGGTGTCAAGCATGTGGGTCAGAAGAGGGAGATCGATAGGGTATGTCTGCATTCTTGAAGCATTCCTTTGATGTTCAGACAATGGCTAGGCTTTGGGAAGCAGGAACAGAGTGAAGCAGCAACAACAGCTACTGGGTTAGTCTGGGTGGACCAGAGAAACAAATTCATAGACACTCATATGTGTCATACAGAACTATATATCAAAAAGTAATTGTTTATTCAGAAAACATCCCAGCCCAGTCCAGATCAAGTCCATAAGTCTGATATTAGCCTATATGTCCGATACCAGTCTCTACTTTCCTCTTCAGACTCATACAACACATGCATCGGGTGGAAAGTCTTGTAGATCCAGTGGCAGTGGAAGTATCTGAGTGCTGGCAGGGGTCTCCATGTGGCTCCTCCAGCTCCAGGGCTCTAGCGTAGATCCATGTGACTTGTCATCAGGAATATAAAGCAGAGAGTATACCTGGCCTCCATTGAGCTATTTATCTCCCCCATGCCTCCAAATGAAGTCATACAGCTTCGACCTGATTGTCAGGCTACTCTACCCCTTTTCAAGCTGACAGGAGATTATGTAATTGCCACAGCTACCCAGGGGAGGCATGAGGGGGTTTCAGCCTGAGGTCATGACAGTGGCTAAGGAAAGAAGTGGGTGGAATTTTGGGGTGCTGTACATAGAGCTCGTATGGCAGTTGGCTCTCAGTAAGGGAATGGAGGGAAATGAGTCAACATACAACCCTCCCTGTAGAAGTGAGTCCGTGAAGACAGGAGAGAAGGTAGACTTGCATACACAGAGGAGGCAGGTTGGTGAAATGAAGGGTGGCTTTCCAACCCAGTCAAGACTGAGACCGGTGAAGAGGCAGAGACTGGAGGTGCTGCAGAGGAAGTGAGTTTAAGGGGAAACTCTTCGAGGAGAGGGGAAGGTCGATGTCAAGGACATCAGCTGGAAGGTGCTGCCTTTGCACAGGAGGAGTTCATTTGCTTCTGGAGCTAAAACAACAAAATGAAACAACTCATGGTGATCCAGTCCATTCGGACTCACTGCAACCCTGCAGGACAGACGAGAACTACTCCCGTGGGTGTCCAAGACTGTAACCCTTTATGGGAACAGAAAGCCTCCTCCCGTGGAACAGCTTGTAGTTTCGAACTGCTGACGGATAAACCAATAGGCCAGCAGGGCTCCTACCCTTAAACTAACTGGAAGATGAAAAAGGGATTTGGCTTCAGAAGTCCTGGGGCCTAGTGCCAACTAGCTACCTGACCTTGGCCAAAGCACTTCTGCTCCGGTGGTCAGCCTCTTCCTCTGAGAAACAAAACGATGGGACTCATCGTGGCTTTAATGTGCTCTCAGTACAGCGCTGGGGTCCTGAGACCCACCGGCGGGCAGGGCCTACGATACAAAGGGAACTGTTTTCATCTCTCTTCTGTAGGCGACTTCCATGTGAGATTTCATATAAATAAAGCACTATACAACTTTAAATGTTACAAACCATAGGTCCAGGTGATATCTAAGAGGCCCTGCCTACTCTCAAAGCCTGCAGTTCTGTAAAGATGACTCACTCAGTTCACTAACATTGAGTCAGTGCTGACTCATTGCACCCCCTTGTGAGTTTCCAAGATCGGAACTGTTGACGGGAGTAGAAAGCCCGGTCTTTCTCCCTGGGAGCTGTTGGTGGTTTTGAACTTCCGACCATGCAGATCGCAGCCCAGCACTTAACCCACTATACCTCCAGGGTTCCACCATCTCAGAAAGAAAGTTCGATGAAGAGGGTCTCTGATGGGAGTCATTGCAAATGATCTCAGTTGTCTCATCACCGAAGGTGAGGTTCACAGGTCATCGGAACTTGATTCTTCCGATTCAAATGATGAGTTAATGAGAGGTCACTAAAGATGTGAAAGAGCGCTGAGCAGGGCCGAAGCCTCCATGGAGAATGACATAGTAATATGGAGTCAGCCTTCCAGAGGATTGGGCATCTTTTTTGGCAGCCTCTGCAGCCTGAGAGCCCTGAAACCAGACAGTGGTGTGAACCAGAATGGAGGGTTAGCCAAGCAGAAGGCCCAGGCAGTCTGCACGCTGTTGAGGGCACTGTCGGCATGGCCAGGAGTCAAGCTGAGAGCCAGAAGTCTAGCCTGGTGTCACCCTGGAGCCCTGGAAGAAAGTGAGTGAGCAGGAGGCTCTGGAGAGGGCACATGATTCCGGAGTGGGGGGCGGGGGTGCTGGGGAGAACAGAAGGGATGCCAGACAACGAAACTCCAGTCAGAGATGCGGAGCTCTGAGTTCACTGCTCGGTGGTTGAAACAATGCTAGATGGTGGCTAGGACTTGACCTTCTAGTAATCATGGCTGTGGGTGGTGATGGAGCGAAGGAGGCTGAGTCACACACGTTGTGGTGCATGATGGACTGTAGCGCCGTCTGACTTATATTAAAGGCAAATTGGGGACAACCGAGGGAACTACTCCTGTCTCACCCAGCAGGTAGTAAACATATGGTACTCATTACTGTAAGGAGGAGTAGAGACCGAAAATATAAATAGCTCCCAGGAAGTTCAAATATTTGTCAAACCAAGACAGATGCACATTGAGCAACTGGGTGAACCAAAGGAGAGTTTGGGCTTCGTCTCTACATTTGAACTTTCATGTCATGGAAGTAAATGAACCCTGGGGGTTTGTCTTGGAGGCTTGGTCACAAAAAGCATCCTGCAGAGAATGAACGTCAGCCACAACCCCGTGGAGCTCCTTGGAAGGTTTGTGCCCTGGCTGCTAACATTCTCTTTCTTCATGCTCTTCTGCAACAACCCCGTGAAGATAGGAGGCGGGAATCCCATCTTCACCAGAAAAAGAAGGATGGATAAAAAGGCAAGAACCCATGCTGTGCGCACTCCGTGAGGCTGGGAGAAGCTGGAGGTCTCTACATTCGGAGGCCGCTTGGCTCTGTGTAAATCTCACCCTCAGGGTGGTTGGCAGCTGTGATTCCAAGACATCCATGTGCTCCCTGGCTGGCTTACACCGTGAGGCCGCCCGGCTCTGCAAACACTGAGCCGGTGCTCACCGACCAGGAGGGCTGTCCCTCTGTTTCGCTGACGTGGGGTCCTGCAGTTGACTTTCACCTGGATGGCAGGATGGCTGAAGAACCAGCACATTCAGACCCGACAGAGCGTTCTAACCAAGGACCCCGGGTTTCCCTTTATGTTGAGACGAGTGTCGCAATGGGCAGCATCCTCTGTTTTCTTGAGGATTCTGGTGATTCGTGTTTCGGTTGACTGCTTAGACATTGTGATCTTTTGAAAGATTCGCCAGTCTTCACACGGGCTGCACGTCTCTGAGCCAGTGAACCTGAAATTCTGTTCGCCAACCCCTGAGAACAGCAGCAAAACCCACCTGCAAGTTGGGTGTCCGGCTCCATTTCCTCTGCTCGCAACATGCTAGGAGGCTAAGGAAAGACTTCTCCTCGGTGGCCTGCCTGAAACTAGGACCTTGTCAAATAATAAGCCCCAGCTCACCTCCCAGGGCCGTGTCCATGGATAAACCAGACACTCAGACCCCGATTCCCACACGGGAACCCACTTTCCCCAAAAGTAGCTCACTAGGAGGGAGAGGCAGCCTGAGAGGGAAGGGAGGACAAGTGATCCGAGTGGAAGCGTACCCCCTTCCCAAGTGATTCCCTGAGAACTTTCAGGGAGCAGGCTGGGCACCAGCTGCTCCTCTACTTTTGCTTGCATATAGCAGCAAGGAGAGGCAAGCCTGAGGAAGACAGGTCCTGAGCGTCGCCTGGCCCCCCTGGAGAGGAGGGCACCCCAGATTCCCCATCACCCAATTAGCAGCTGGAAAACATTTGTTTCCCCCATGAGTCTCTGGCTCTAAATAGAAAACACTGCCCTGGGCTCCCAGTCCTGAGCCCACTCCTTTGTTAACGTGTGATTAAACCCTGCAGCCCGAGCAGGCAGTCTTGGGGGGGCGGGGGGGTGAGGAGGTTATTAGCCAACGGTGCAGAGCCGTAAAGGCACTTGGCTGGCATCCTCAGGGCCCCAGAGATATAATTATCTCATGCACGATGGCTTTGCCACCTGTCATATCTTCTGGCTTAATTTTTTTTTAAAATAAAAAATAATGAGAGGGGTTGGTGTTTTCTTCCCATGTAACACGGCTTGCTTTGAGCAGAGCCCAGGCTGGCAGGGCCCCTGTCCTCCTCTCCCTGCTCGTCCCCCCTGCCCTGCTCCCCTGGTCTCTCTGCCTCTCCACCTCCATCCCTTTCTCCCTCTCTCGGATGCTGTGTCTTTCTGCTTGTCTGTCTGAGCAAGGTTTCTCCCCCTGACATCTCTCTAGTGGCTTCTCCTGTCTGTTAGCACCGAAGCACGGGGGCTTGCTCTCTGCTCTCTCTCTCTCTCTCTCTCCCCCTAACCTGCCCTTCTCAATGCTTCTCTCGTATAGTCTCCCTCTGACTCTCCTCCAGCCTCCTGCCTCCTGTCAGCCCCCGGACCTCCTTGAAGCCCCTCCCCCATTTCACAGCAGCCTCCCCTCCCCACACAAGGACCTTCGAGGCATCCACCATGATGGCACATGCCTAGCAAAACCTGGACACGACCATTCCTTTTGGCCCAGTTTGCAGCTCTTGGGTCAGGACTGGCCTCTGCATTTCAAGTTGACTCTTTCTGCCTTATGCCCCCATCATAGCCCACCTTAGGCCGGGCTGCAGTGCTGGCGGCATGGGATGTATGCAAGGAACTTCTTCCGGTGGGTGTTCTGCTGGGAAGATGCTCCTATCTTTAGGAGAGGCCTTCCTTCCCCCTATGGCCTCTCAGAGGCTGGACAAGATGCAGCTCTTCCACAACCGCTGAAGACAAAGTGGGTGCATAAGCAAATGTGGTGAAGA